GGGGGGGGCAGCCAGGGGCTGGGCGGGTCGGAAAGAGGCGCCCCGGGGGTCGGCCGCGCGCTCCGAGGCGGTGGCAGCCCCTCCAAGGGCATGGCTCTTCGACCCTTTCTTTTTCTCTCAAAGCCCTGCTTCGTCTGGAGCAGCCACTGCAAAAAAATAGCATTTCTCTTGCATTTTATTTCTCTTTAGATACCAGATGGCCCTAATTCTGTAGGTGTCCAGAACGTGCTTCATTTTAGTCTTTTGAGTGGACCCATTGATTTTTAAGTGATTGCACATGTGAGTAAAATTGAGCATGTATTTATAGTGCCAGGGCATGACTTCTTCGCAATCTGCTTAATTTGCCCCAGCATTACCCTGCCAGTGCTGGGTTTGCTTTTCAAAGCTAGTTCAGCCTTCTTGAGAAAAGCGTTAAAAGCGCTGCTGCTTCCAAAAGGAGCGACTTACTGCTTCGGCTCGGCGCCTTGCCGCTGGCGACAGAGACGGCGATTCATCGAGGGCTCACAGCTACCGTCTGGTCTCTTCTTTCAGTGTTCGCATTCCGGTAAAATATCTTTCATGAGATTTGGAGCCTAGTATATCATTCTGCTTGCGAGATAATACACACGTGATGATGATGTTTGGGACGCTGCACCCTGTGCCTGGCTTTATTGACATGCTAAGCGCGTCTCCTGCGAGGCATGTGCGAAGGGGGCTGCTGGATTGGTTGCCGCTGGGGGCATTCAGCAACCTACAGTGCGGCGTGTGGGATCCGAACGGGCTCCAGGGTTGATCTTTGCCCTTTCCAGTATCAGTGTGATTGATTGTCTTTAATGTATTAAAGATAACGCAATATACTTAATTTTTCAGGAGATATTATCGCAGAAATCAAGGCCCCAGTTCATGCCAGGTCTAGAATTGTGCAGGTTTCTTTCTACTTAAAAATGGATTCTTCCATTACCCTCAAAAAGCGGTGAGGCTTTCTTGTACTTCTAACATTTCTTGCATATATTAGTAATGCAAATTGCTGTGCTGTTGCTTAGCAGGACTCTGTTTTTATTCAGCTTATGCAACCCCTGTAATTACGTTTCCCGCTAGCTGTTCATTCTGTGGAAAGCAAGAATGAAGCTTCCAGTTCAGAACCTGCTTTATTCTCTGCTCGGTTTTAGCTTTCAAATGTATTTATTTAAAACTGATTTGATTTCATTTTCAATTTTTTTTCTTGTATTGAAACATTCTTGTAATACAGAGAGGTATTATGTACCTTTCTTAACTTAAAAAAAAAAAAAAGGAAGCCAACTATGTCCTAATCACATTTAAAAGACTGCCCAACGTGATTTATTTAGAAACAGGCATCACTTGATGGAGACTAGGATGAAGCTGAGTGAAACGGTGTTAATTCAGGGAGTGGCATGATACCTTTTTACAGAGTGATTTTTCTGAGGTTGACAAAAGACTCCTTTTAAGGCATTTTTTGGTCTTTATTACATAGTACCTAATATGCCCGGCATAGGATTGCCTGCCCCGGGCAGTCGGCAGCCTCCCGGGGTGTTTTCCAGGGCAGCCAGCGGAGGAGAAGCGGGAAGTGGCCGAAGCGGGGGAAAGTGCTGCTTTTCGAGGCAGCAGGGAGGGATGTGGAACAAAAGCTCGCTGTTAAAACCGCCTTTAAACATCAAACACCCCAACTCATGTTAAGCAAATGTTTACTTAAAAAAAAAGATTTTTTTCTCCCCATGTTATGATAACTTAAAGACAAGAAAACATCTTAAATAATCACTTATTAATAGCAGAGTGCCAAGTTTTCCCTTTCAAGGGAAGTAGTACAAATCTCCTGAGGTCTCTGCATCATACACCCAAAACCAACAGCCAAACGCGCCCTGGGGCGTTCCCTGTCCTTCTGCGAGATGCCACAATTTCAGGGCTGCTTTAGAGCCGGAGAGGAAGCAGCAGGACTGGCTAAAGTAATTTTTCATCAGAAAGCTGCAGTAACCATTAATATTCAGCAGGTCCCTCTTACAGAAGGTTATCAAAATAGCTTCGCTGCCCTGCAAGCCTCACGCCGCTTGCCAGATATCCGCCTTGCGGTGTGCTGTTTCCACAGGGTCCCCTGGGAAAATGCTTTTAAATTGCTTTGCAGAATTTCTTAGGCTTTCATAGTTGATTTGCATAGCTGTGAGTTCATATTGCCTGCTTAGGAAAAACATTGGCAATGCCACTAAATCCGTCTGGATTTAGAGCTTGTGCCGCTATTAATTTTCCCAGGATTTAAAGTGCGTGCGTTATAGGAATGAAAGGCTAGTATATGCGACTTTACAAAAAAAAAAAGAAAATCTTTTTTGATAGGCAAAAAAAAAAAATTCTTTTTTGATAGGCAAAATATAACGTAGCAGGGCCCAGGGCTACGTTTGACAGTTCTTTCCTGCGATTAACCGCCGTTCTGTAGGACCCTGGCACTGCAAATATTTACACGTAGGCTCAGCTTGGAGCCCCTGGCTGCTGCGAGGGCCGCGGCGGAGGCAGCCTTGCGCCGGGGGCCGAGGGGGC